AATGAGAAGGCGGTGGTGGCGCCACACCTTTAGTCCCGGCACTTGGGAGACAGACAGGAGGACCTCTGTGAGTTCAAGGCAAGCCTGGTCTACAGTCCAGGGCAGGTTCCAAAGCTGCAGTGAAACCCTGTCTTGATAGCCCTCCCCCCAAAAAATGTGCTCACCGTACAGTCGCCTTTCCCAGGCAAAGTGCTTTCTACCAGACTGGATTTCATAAAGGGAGCCCATACAGCCAGGTGTGATGGCAAACCCCGGTAATCCCAGCACTCAGAAGGCTTAGGCAGGAGGGTACCAAGTCCAAAATCAGAAAGGACTACCTGGTGAGAGCCCATCTCAGAAAGAAAACAACAGCCTTTTGTAAGGGAGGAACAGGGAATGGAGCAGCCGCTGTGGTGACCTCAGGTTACAGAATCAAACTCGACTTCCCTATTATGCCTGCTCAGGTTGGCCCCTTGCCACTGATGAGCTAGAGAAACCCTTCTGCTTACTGACTGCTGCTGAGGCCTCTGACTAGGGTGTAGGTGAGGGGACCCTAGAGGAGGGTCAGAGCCTCCTGTGTGAGTTAATGCTCTCGAACACATCTGCTCGCCCAGAGTTCCCAGACCATGTGGGGAAACCCGGCAGGACCTGTTTTCTTTGGATTCTTCTGGACCTCTCTGCAATGTCCCTCCCTCCAGGGCAGGGAGCAGCACCCCTCAGGAGTGGAGTCCTGTGACCTGCTATTGCACAGGAAGGAGCCGTCATGAGATTTTTTTTTTTTTTTTAATGACCAGCCAGAGTTACCAGAGCAGAGTTTCTCTGGTCAGCGTGAGGAGGGAGGAGGTCAGTTCTAATCAGGAACCAACCATGATGGAAAACTCCAGCAGAGCCAGGCGCTGGTGGTGCACACCTTTAATCTCAGCACTCAGGAAGCAGAGGTGGATCTCTGTGAGTTCGAGGCCAGCCTGGTCTACAAAGCTAGTTCCAGGATAGCCACCGCGGTTATACAGAGAAACCCTATCTTGGACCCCCCCCCCCAAAAAAAAGAAAATAAAAAAACTCTAGCTGGCTGCAGTGCTGGATCCCTGTAACTCCAGTACTTGTGAAGCTGAGGCAGGATAGCCTGGGCTACATAGTTGCAATATTCTGTCTTAAAACAAGGAGGGAGGGCAAAATGACTCCAAGAATAAAGCTGCCTGTCGTCAAGCCTGAAGACCTGAGTTCAATCCCTGGATCACACATGTTGAAAAAGAGAACAGACTCCCTGCAAATGCTCCACACAAGTGCTGTGGGACATAAGCACTAGCACTCACAAGAATAAAACATCAAAGATAGCTGGGCGATGGTGGCGCACGCCTTTAATCCCAGCACTCGGGAGGCAGAGGCAGGTGGATCTCTGTGAGTTCGAGACCAGCCTGGTCTACAGAGCTAGTTCCAGGACAGGCTCCAAAGCCACAGAGAAACCCTGTCTCGAAAAACCAAAAAAAAAAAAAAAATCAGAGATAAATATAAGATCAGGTGAAGGCTGGCAAGTTGGTGCAAGTAACCCATAGGGGAAGAAGAAAGCCAACTTCCAAAAGTTGTCCTCTGACTCCACATTCTCAAAGTGGCACATTTGATACACACACACTGATAATGAATTCACTGTAAAAAAAAAATGAAATAAAAGAGAAACCAGGCATGGTGGTGCAAGCCTGCAGTCACATGTGCACATAAGCACGCACGCGCAAACACACACACACACACACACACACACACAGGAAGAAGAAAAAAATGCACAAATGAGGGAGAAGAAATTCTGTCGTCAGCAGAAACTGCGAGTGTGCTGCCAGTGCCTCTGGACAGCTCAGTGGAGTGGACATTCCAAGGACTTTCAAAGATGGTCTCTCAGGATCCCAGGGCAAAGGCCAGACCTCTGTCACTAGGCTAGTCCTTGACTATACCCAGGATGGAAGAGAGAAGGGTGGAGGTAGGGAGACAACAGATATCCTCAGCTACCCTGTGGAGCACAGACTGCTTCATCACCAAAGGAATCAGCCCTTAAGCCCTGAGGAATGAGCATGTCTTCCTGTGTCTGTTCCATGATGGAGGTAGAAAAGATTTCAGCTATGCAAGGATAGCATCAAAGTCATTTTCAGCCACATAGCTTAAGTCGAGTCTGGGCTCCCTGAGAGTCTGTCAAAAATAGGAATAAAGATCTGGGCATGCTGGCTCATTCATAGTTGTAATCCCAGCCCTTGGGAGACTGAGACGAGAGACTTGTCGTGAGTCTGCAGCCCTCCTGGAGTAGAGAGTAAAACCCTATCTTTAAAAGAAAGAGGAGCCGGGCGGTGGTGGCGCACGCCTTTAATCCCAGCACCTGGAAGGCAGAGGCAGGTGCTGGGATCAAGGCCAGCCTGGTCTACAAGAGCTAGTTCCAGGACAGGCTCTAAAGCTACAGAGAAACCCTGTCTTAAAAAAAAAAAGAAAGAAAAAAAAGGAAAGCTGGAAAGATGAACTAGCTCAGTGGGTCTGCTGCTAAACATGGGGACCTGAATTCAAATTTTCAGAAGCTACACCAAAAATTGGACTCATGACTAACAAGGTGGCCCACTGGATAATGGCCAAACTTAGGGTCCTGAGTTCAGTAGCTGGGACCCCCGTAATGGAAGGAGAGATCCAACTTCCCTCATTTGTTCTCTGACATCCACAAGTATGCCTTGAACCACACAAGCACACACTCGGGAGTCAGAGGCAAGCAGATTTCTGTGAGTTTGAGAGCAGCCTGGTCTACAAGAGCTAGTTCTAGGACAGGCTCCAAAGCTACAGAGAAACCCTGTTTCAGAAGAGAGAGAGAGAGAGAGAGAGAGAGAGAGAGAATTTCCAGATCCAAAGAGAAACAAATTTCAAGTAAATGATAGAATCCAGCCCAGGTTGTACAGTATGACTTCAGTCACAGCACTTGGGAGGTAGAGGCAGGAGGATCTCTATCTACATAGCAAGACCCTAGCTCAAAGGTGTGGCGGGGAGAATTGAAAAAAAAGTGGAGGGGTGGTGTGAAAGATGTCATGGGAAGACAGCTCTGCAGTCCCAGAGACAGTCAGTGTGTCCATGGCTGAGGGAAAACAAAAGCTTCTGCATCAAATGAAGGCCCAGGGCAGCAGCTCTAATGGTGGTGAGCTTGTCTCCTGCCCACAAAGCCCTGGATGGGTTTGAGCCTCAGTCCTAAAGCATTTGGGAGGCAGAGACAGGTGGATGTTTGTGAGTTTCTGGCCAGGGCTACAAGGCGAGACCTTGTCTCAACACACACACACACATGCACACTAAGTACTAATGCACGCGCACAAACAGACACACACACACACTGAATTGACAATAAGGTAAGGGCTCAGGCAGGGTTGCAAAAGCAACCTAATTTACAGAGCAGAGCAGCAGTGCAGGGTAGGGAGGAGCACTGTGTCAAGATCTGCAGCTGCCCTAGGAAAGGGAGAACTCAGGGGACTCGGGTACTTTTCAAGGCTTTCTTCTATGGGGTCCAAGGGAGTTTGGTTGCTAAGGGTGCACTGTGGGCAGTTCTCTTACTCTGGTTGATCAATTAGGTCACAATCATTTCTCTACTAAGCATGCACTGTCCCATAATGTATAATTTAATTTTTAAAATATTTATTTGTGTTTATGTGCATGTGTCTGCGTGTGCCATGTGTGTTGGGGTGCCATGGGAGCTAGAGGAGAGCATCAGATCCTTAGGGTGCAGCAGTAGTCAGCTGCCTAACGTGGGAGCTGAGAGCTGCAGTCAGGTCCTGAGCAGGAGGAAGATGTATTCTTAGCTGCTAAGCCATCTCTCTAGCCCTATAATGCATGATTTTAGCCAGGCATACCCAGAATGCACAAGCATAAGATGGTAAATAGGGGATTCTCCCTGAATTTACTTGAGGACACTGTTTATTTTGTTTCTTTTGTTGTTTTATCAAAACAGGGTTTCTTTGTGTAGTCCTGGGTGCCCTGGAACTCACTCTGTAGACCAGGCTGGCCTCAAACTCAGAGATTCACCTGCCTCTGCCTCCCGAGGGCTGGGATTAAAGTCATGTGCCACCACTGCCTGGTGATTATTTTTATTTTATGTGTATGACTATTTTGGGGGTCTTGTACCCTGGGACCTCCTTGTGACTCTACCCCTGCAGTAGTTCCCAGACTGAAAATTTCTCACCCCCCAACCAGGGCAGCAGTTTCACTGATACCCACTCTGGATTGTCTGGACATTATTATTATTATTATTATTATTTTTTGGTTTTTCGAGACAGGGTTTCTCTATGGTTTTGGAGCCTGTCCTGGAACTAGCTCTTGTAGACCAGGCTGGTCTCGAACTCACAGAGATCCACCTGCCTCTGCCTCCTGAGTGCTGGGATTGCCACCACCGCCCGGCTTATTTTTTTAATTTAATTCGTGTGTGTGTGTGTGTAGAGCTCAGGGGGCAACTCTAGATGGGCTTCCTCGGGTTCTGGGATTAGAACTCGGGTCACTGGACTTGCATAGCAGGTTCCCTTACCTATCACCAAACAGTTGCCGACTTTGGATGTTATTTCATTCAATTTTTGTTGTTGTTGAAACCTCTAGCCCAGGATGGTCTCTTGCTTCATTCGAGATGGCCTCTTGAAGCACCATGACCTGCCTAGTGGAGAGGGCTCTCATGTTGTCCAGGCCACTCTCCAAAGATGAGCTTGACCCTTTGATCCTGAGTGCTGACATTTATAGGTCTATGCCATCAAACTGGGTTCCACGTGGTGCCGGGATTGCACCCATGGGATCCCGCGTGCTAGGCCTGCACTCTACCAACCGAGTCACATCCTCAACCCCTGAGCCATTTGTAAACCATGTTCCCGGGTCCCCCTAGGCCAGCTAAGTCCTAATTCTAACTGCAGACTGGGTGACTGTCCCCTAGGCAGGCCATTCTGGCTCTGGTCCCAAGACAAGGAACAGGAGGCATCGTCTGGTAAGGGGCTGTACCAGGCCAAAGAAAACCCTACACTCCTTTCTCCCCTGCAGTGTACCACTGGGCAGAGATGCGGACCAAGATGCGCATCATGGGCTTCCACGCTGAGGCCATCAAGCCATTGAACGAGGCAGCAGCAGCCGAGCTGGGCGCGAATCTGTTGGGTGAGGCCATCATCTTCGCCTGCGCGGGCAGCTGTCTACTGCTGGAGTTCTGGCGCCAGCAGTCACTGAAACACCGCAAAGAAGTGGAGCGCGTGGCCTCGCTGCGGTCCCTGAGGGCAGACTTGGACCGCCTGGAGCAGGCGCTGGATGAGCTGCAGGTGCGGGTGCAGGCGGCAGTGACGAGGGGCTCGCTGGAGGAGCTGCGGGCGGAGCTGCGGGCGGAGCTGCAGGAATTCAGAACCCAGATCTGCGAGGAGCGCCAGGAACCTGAGCCCCAGCCCTCTGAGGGCCCCGAGTAGAGGCCTTGGACTCTGACCTTGGATATGGATTGCTGTCTGGGCTTGTTCCACGCCTGGCTTCTCTGCATGGGCCCATTGCGAACTGAGCCAGCCGACATGTTCTGGTCTCTGGGGACAGAGGGATCGATCCTAGGCCGGGAATGGTGTGAGAGTTCCTTTCCACGGCGGTCTCTCACCCACTGGTGCAGCATGTTGGGGAACCACCTAAGAGCCCTTCGCCTAGGGCGCTGGCCCATCGCACTGGAACACTCCCTGCCTAGTGTCGTCTACCTCACTTGGAGGGGAGAGGCCGGCTGGCTCCTCCTGCCTTTAGTCTGAGTTGCCTCTGCCTGGCGTTCTCCCCTAGTGACCCTCTTCCTTTAATCCAGGGCGCTGCCCACAAGCTGGCTGGGTGCATCTTCCTCTTCATGTCTTAGGAGAAGGTAAGCTGGTTCTTATCCCATTTCCCTGTCTCCAGCCCCTTCATTGCCCACCACCGCTCCCTTGAGAGCCTCTTTGCTGGAACCATCTGCACCCTTATCACGTGGGCCAGTGCTACACCTCCCTTCTGCCGACAGCCTTACCTCTGACCAAATGGAACATTCTGACCAAATGGACCAATAAACTCCCTTATTCACTAGTTTACTAACATACTGGGCCACAAAGGTTGGCCTATGAGCTCTGACTTCTATTTTTTTAAGACTTTACTACACGTTTTATAATTAAAGGAGCCCCAGGTTAAAGAGTGTGTCTCAAATCGTTACATGCTGAGTGGGTGGAAGTGTCATTCATTCCAATTGAGAAGGCACTTCTATTGACAAGGGGGCAGTCATCTTCTGAGACCTTTCCCAGGTACATAAAGCATTCCAGAGTTAAGATGTAAGACTTAAGGGCCACACAACCCCAACACTGTAGGATGAAGCAGGCTGGTGAGGACCACGGACAGGAGGACCATAGCAGAGTGCCTGGCAGAAATAGAAGTGTGTATGCAGAACGGGGAAGCAAGAAGCAGAGGGCAGTGGCATCCTTGCAAGGGTTCCCACAGCTGGGAGCAATCCCCGCCTCCCAAGTGACTCCAGAGGCCTTCACATTTATAAAAACCGCAGATTTATTCAGCGAGGGCCCGTGTCCAAGAAGCTAAGGTGTGAAAGTCGGAGGACCTATTTTTCCTCTTCTCCTTCCCTCTCACTTCATCTTCCCAGAGGGCAAAAATGGTCTGGACCTTAAAATCCTAACCCCCAAAAAAAAAAAAAAAAAAAAAAGGCCACAAAACTGAGATTCCAAAAAAGTTAAAGAATCTTAATTCCTCATAGAAAAGAGGGAGGAGCCAAGGTAAAGGGGGTGGTGTTCCTGGGGTGGGGGAAGTCCCGCCCACCTGCGGGGAAGCCTCTCCCCTTACAGCGCTGCCTCCTATGGGACAAGCCTGGGGTTATGGCTTTTAAAAACCCCCACACCCCATTTTATCAAAACCAAAGAGAAAAAAAATTTCCCTTCCCCCCAAAACCCAAATATATATATATACTTTTTCTTTAAAAAAAAATCCAAGGCATTAAAGCGTTAAAGTGAATCCAGAACAAGGGAAGGTGAGATTCCCTCTTTCCTTCCCTTACTGTGGGGTTACTCAGTACATCCCCAGCAGAGGAACCAGCCCCAAGGGGATGGCGGAGGGGAAGGAGCAAAGGGAACAAAGGGGTGGGACCTCCTTAGCCAATCAGCAGCCAGCATGGGTGTGGTCATGGCAGCAGGGAGCCACACCCTCTGGAATCTTCCAAGAGGGATAGTGAGGGAGAATTCCTTCTGGTGTACTCTGGTCAAGTTGAGGCAGGGAAAGCAGGCGTCAGGCGGGAAGTCAGAAAGGAGACGGGTCTTCTGGGTCCCCATGGTCAAGGAGAACCCCGCTTCCTCAGCTCCTGGATAAAGGCTGGAAGGAGGGAAGAGGAAGAATTCAGGCCAGTCTCCATCCCCTTCCCTTCTAAGACAGGTTCTTTCCACAAACACAAGGCCCTTGCAATCGCTGCATCAGAACCAAAGTTCCTCACCTTCGATTATTTCCTCTTTCATTTTCTGCAGCTCCTTCCGCACCTCTTCCAGAAGCTCCTGAATAGAAACAATCAGAGAGGCCCTGCACTGGCAGAAACAGTGACCCCTCTCTTATTTCATCTTTTCTAAAGTTCTTTAACAATTACTTAGTTGTGTGCGTGTGCCTGTCCATGCATGAGCGCATGCCACACTGCACGTGTATCAGGAACTGCTTGAGAGAGTCAGTTCACTCCACCATGTGGGCTCTGAAGATGGAACTCAGGTTGTCAAGATCTGCAGGAGCACCTCTAGCTGCTGAGCCCTCATAACCAGTGGAACCTAAGCCATCTTGAATGCTACCTAATACTACCACTGAGCCACACCCTCAGCCCTCACTGGAGGATTCTAGGCAGGGGCTCTACCACTGAGCCACACCCCAGCCCCTCACTGGGGGATTCTAGGCATTCTGCTATGCAGGGTTCCCTCTCTCCCTTTCTTCTTGACTGAAAAGACAGGAAGCTGGTTCCACAACCCTTCCCACCTTCATCCTTTGACACAAATTGCCAAGGTCACAAAATGATGGGGATGTTGTATAGGAGAATTCTAGATCTTTGATTGTAGCAGAACAGCACTGGAGAACATCCAGTAAGAAGCTTGCCAAATGTGCATAATCTCCTGACAACTCTGACGAGAAATGGATAGCTGGAGCCACCGAACTGAGGAGTCTGGGTACTCACAGTGAGAGACAGGCACTAGAAATCGGTGTTTCTCCCCACCAGGGGCCCACCCACCATCTCCCTTTTCAGACCGGCAGACTGAGGTTTCTAAGCCTTCTCTAGAACCATTCTGGACCCAGGTCTGTCTCTCGGCATCAAGAGAGCTGTTTCCCCAAGCTACCTGCTTCACTCTCTCCAAGTCAGAGTCATCACTGGAGCTGGGGGCAGGGGGGTGGGCCTCGGAGGTAGTCACAGAAGAAGACGACTTCATCCTGGAAGAGTGGGTATGAAACAGACTGAGGTTAAAGGGGCACTGCTCTCCTTTCCTGGTCTAGGGGTCACGGTGTGTTCCTCCTTGTTTTTATTCTTTAGTTTTGGTTTTTCGAGACAAGGTTTCGCTGTAGCTTTGGAGCCTGTCCTAGAACTAGCTCTTGTAGACCAGGCTGGCCTCAAACTCACAGAGATCCGCCTGCCTCTGCCTCCCGAGTGCTGGGATTAAATACATGTACCACCAACACCTGGCATGTTCTCCCTTGTACAAGAGAAAAGTTCAACTTTTTTGAGAGGTGGATACCCAATATGGATGGCCTACCTTGGCAAGGTTGTGCTGTTCTTCTCCCAGGGTCTCCGCACAGGTTCTGGGTGGATGGGGGGAAACAACAAATCAGAAAGCTCAGAGGTAATCATTGCCCCCCCACCCAATATACCACCACCCAACCCACTAGGTCAAAGAACTATTTTAGAAAACTACAATCCCCAAGTATTATTTTCACAAGTTTCTGATGCAAATGCTTTCAAAGCAGGAATAATGCACCATGGGATTTGTAGTTTCTATGGTTAGACAGGGCTGTCACTCACCACTCTGGGCGGGGACTCGGGCCTCTGGCTCCTCCTGCTGGCGGTAAATAAAAGTGTCATAAGCCACCCTTTATATGCCAATGTTCCTCTTCCAGGTCCAAAGCCAGAACAACCCTGTCACACCTCCTCCCTGCCCGAGAGAGCGTACATCTTAAGAATATAGAGCAGGAAGAGTCCCCGACTTACACTAGCCGACTCGTCTTTGGGGGGCTTCTCCCCAACCTGTGTGGCTTTCCTTCTGCAGAGGGGCAAGCAAGAACAAGCCACAGTTCAAGCTCTGCTACTCAACAGCACCCCTTCCCACTGCTATGTTCCAGAATAATCTGAAGCTAAGAAGGGACCTGCAAGATGGCTCAGTGGATAGGGCTACTTGACACCAAGCCAAATGACCTGATTTAACCCTAGGAACCCAGGTAAAGTTGAAAGTAGAGAACTAGCCAGGCAGGGTGGTGCACGCCTTTAATCCCAGCACTTGGGAGGCAGAGGCAGGCGGATCTCTCTGAGTTTGAGGCCAGCCTGGTCTACAGAGTGAGTTCCAGGACAGTCAAAGATACACAGAGAAACCCTGTCTCGAAAAACGAAAAAGAAAAAAGAAAGTAGAGAACTAAATCTTGCAGATTATCCTCTAACTTCCAAATCTGTAACCACACATATAAATAAACACACACACACACACACACTGAGAATAAATAAATGTAGTAATTTGGGACGGGGGCGTGATCTCTGACTTCAAAGTCAGCCTGGTCTACATAGTGTCTCAAAAAACAAAGATGGAAAGCCGGGCGGTGGTGGCGCACACCTTTAATCCCAGCACGCGGGAGGCAGAGGCAGGCGGATCTCTGTGAGTTCGAGGCCAGCCTGGTCTACAAGAGCTAGTTCCAGGACAGGCTCCAAAACCACAGAGAAACCCTGTCTCGAAAAACCAAAAAAAAAAAAAAAAAAAACAACAAAAAAAAAAAAAAAAAAACCAAAGATGGATGAAAATAGCGTGGCACAAGCCTGTAATCCCAGCAACAACAACAATCCTGCTATAAGCCAGTGGGATGGTTCAGTGCGTAAGGGTGCTTGCTGCCAAGCCTGACAATATGAGTTCGATTCCCAGAACCCATATGGTGAAAGGCGAGAAATGACTTCTCCCGGGTGCCGAGGGCAAACTCATATAGACAATGAGGAAAAGTCAACAACTTAGGGGAAGATGGATCCTCCAGAGGACCCGGATTCAAATCGTGAACTGAATGAGCACCTACACGCAGCTCACGACTGTAATTCCAGTTCCAGGGGACCTGATACCCATGGTAAAACACCAATGCATGTTAAATAAAAATAAATTTTTTTATATATATAAAAATACTCAGCTTAGCCGGGCGGTGGTGGCGCACGCCTTTAATCCCAGCACTCGGGAGGCAGAGGCAGGTGGATCTCTGTGAGTTCGAGACCAGCCTGGTCTACAAGAGCTAGTTCCAGGACAGGCTCCAAAACCACAGAGAAACACTGTCTCGAAAAAAACCAAAAAAAAAAAAAAAAAATACTCAGCTTACAGACTGTTCCTCTAGAATTTGGAGGGGTTTCCCATAATTCTCATGTCTGGAAATCATAAGAACTTAAGGCTGAGAAGGTTTCTAGATCAGCAAGCTGAGATTCTTAAGAACCCAAGCTTCCGGAACATTTAAGGGGAATCGCCTAGGGTTGTAGCACTGAGTGTCAGGGACCTGTGAGCCACCTCTGAGGAGGAGTCTCCAGCACTGTGTCCCAGACATGGCTGTCATAGGCAGGCGGGACTGCCACCCCAAGAAACAAAGAAGCCAGGTACAGCTGGGCCATCCTAGAACTCAAGCCCGAGAGGCGGAGGGAGGATGGGGTTCTGCGTGAACTACCCATGAGAGGGAGGGGTACCATCAGCACCCCAGAACTGTCACGTGTGGCTGTCTTCTGAGGAACCCAGGCTCACCTCCGGGCCAGCATGGCGTTCATCTCTTCCATAAGCCCGCCAGTGCTTCGACTACTCTCAGCTTTGGGGGCCAAGGGCCCCCCAGAGGCCTCCTCCT